GTGCTTTTTAAAAAGCCATGACAGCCTCTAAAGCCCAATTTGCTGCACTCGCACAACGCACAGGTACTTTAAAGGTACTCTCACTCACACTTGGTTTCATTACCCGGGAGCTTTGAGGAAAACAAAACACACAATAAAAACCTTTACTCGCTAGAAAAACCCTTTTGATCATCTTCAGCTGTGCACGTTCTGATCTCCAAGGGGAGATATGAGTTCCAAACTGCCTGGGGCAGCTCCAGCACGGGGAAAGGGGAATTCCTGCTTTTCCCAGGGCACCAGCAATGCCTCGTGCTGCCATCCCCGGGGGAGCTCTCCCCTGCCCTCCCCTCATCCCCTTCCACCTGCCAGGAAGGGGGGAGCAGTCCCCAAAACAGCTGGAGATGGCCTCTGTTTCCCTAGGTACCCAGCCCTGCTCAGGCAGGGAGGGAGGTGGCACGGGAGGTGACACGAGAGATGACACGGGAGGTGGCACGGGAGGTGACACGGGAGGTGACATGGGAGGTGACACGGGAGGTGGCATGGGCTGTCCCTGCCGGCTCCTCCACATTTGTCACCTCTCCTAAACCGCTCCTCTCCCGAAATTGCCACTTGTGCTGTCAGCGAGATGGATGTGCAGGAACACAGGGTGATGGAACATGGGGTGATGGAGCACAGGGTGATGGAACACGGGGTGATGGAGCACGGGGTGATGGAACACGGGGTGATGGAACACGGGGTGATGGAACATGGGGTGATGGAGAACAGGGTGATGGAGAACATGGGGTGATGGAGAACATGGGGTGATGGAGCATGGGGTGATGGAGCACAGGATGATGGAGCACAGGGTGATCCCTCTCCTGACAGGGGATCACAGCAAAGCCTGGTTCTGGTTCTGAATGCCCAGCCTGCTTCCTGAACTCCTACCAGTGCACAACACAGCAATTTATTCTTTTAATAAAACCATGTCTCCAGAACTCGCTCCCCTTCCTCATGTGTTCTCATAAAATCTTAACCAGCTGCCTGGGAAGAATGCAGAAAGGATGCAGGATGGAATTCTACTGCTGAAAATCAGCGGCTTCCCAAAATTATTCTGCCATGCAAAACAACTGCGTTGCTGACAGAATTTCTCCTAACTCCAACAGACACAAACAGTTGGGACTGCGGGGATCCATCACCCATTGAAACCAAACAAAGGGGAGCAGCTTTAATTACTGAGGCTGCAGAAATAACTCATCACAGGCACAGCTCCTCGCCTAAGGAGGGGTTTTCTTTAAGATCCCCATGCTGAGGAGCTTCTGTACCAAAACAGGTGCCCAGTGACACCCTTGGCAAACCTTCTCTTCTGTCAGAGCCACGGGAAGGGACACGTGGGCACTGTGACTGCTGCTGTTGGGAGTGCTGGCCTGGGAGGCCATGGGACCATCCCAGTGTCCCAGTGCCACCAGGGCAGCAGGGGACAGTCCCAGTACCCCTGTGCCACTTGGGAACAGTCCCAGCTCCCTGTGCCACCAGGGCACCAGGGGACAATCTCAGTATCCCTGTGCCACCTGTGCCACCTGGGGACAGTCCCAGCTCCCTGTGCCACCTGGGGACAGTTCCAGCTCCCTGTGCCATCTGGGGACAGTCCCAGTATCCCTGTGCCACTTGGGAACAATCCCAGAACCCTGTGCCACCAGGGCACCAGGGGACAATCTCAGTATCCCTGTGCCACCTGGGGACAGTCCCAGCTCCCTGTGCCACCTGGGCAGCAGCAGCAAGGCACCATCTGGCCCCACCGCAGGCCTGGCACAGGCTGGGGAGGGCACCCACCCCTCATGGGGTCAGGGGCCATGGGTGAGGGTCGGGGTCTGGCTGAGCAGCAGCAGCAGCAGCCAGGGAGCCGCGCTCCAGGAGCACCGGGACAGGGAGGGAACGATCCTCCAGAAAACTGTGTGCTCAGCCCAAAAGGGATTGATTACACTGAGATATGAATCAACCATCTAAAATGAGGGAGCTGAACTTTTGTATTATGTCAGCACACAGAGGCTTCTCCTGGAGAGACCCAGCAGTCCTCACTCCCCATCTTCAGGCAGACGATGAAACCTCGGGGTGAGAGCTGGGGCCGGGACCCAGCTCAGCCTGAGCTGGGCTCCTCCAGAGGGGCCCTGAGCCTCCTCCCGTGGCACAGCAGCACAGAACGAGACCGGTGAGTGGAAGTTTGTCCCGGTGCCAGCGGCAGCCCCGTGGGTGCCCTCTGCTCTCACCCTCGGGGCACGGCCAGATGTGCCCAGCTGCGGCTGGAGCCCCGGGGCTGTGTGCCCCGCCGAGGGCAGCCCCAGGCTCGGGCCCGGGCATGGCTGCAGGCCAGCCCCAGCCCGGAGATCACCCTCAGGCTCGGAAATGCCGGCTCCAAGCCGCGGGAGTGCCGCTCGTGTCCCCGCAGGAGCTCAGCCCGGGAGCTGGCTGCCCTCGCACCCACGGACGGGTGAATTTGGAGCCCTCGCTGGCACAGGGAGGCTGCACCCAGAGCAGGGAGGGGGAACCAACCCGCGCTGGCCGCGGGGAGCCCTGGCCACCCTGCCGGGATGCAGAAAAGCGGAGCACAGCCCGCTCCGGGTGCTCCGGGCACGGCTGGACCCAGACAGCTCCGGAGCTGCGGGAGCGAACTCCTCCTCCGGCACCCAAAGGGCTTTTCCAGCCCACTGGAGTTCAAAAAGAGCCCATTCCCGATCCCTCGGCAGCTAGAGCAATCACTGTCATGTGCATTGAGGTACATTCACAGCACCTGCAGCCACGGACACCCCAGAGGAGCAGAGGCTCGGGCTGGAGAGCCTGGGTGCTGCCCACGCTGCGATCCCGCATTTCTCCTCTCGGGTCACCCGCTCAGAGCAGAACAACCCCGATTAAAGCGAGCCTGCCGAGGGCACGGGGGCGAGAGGAGCTGCTCCGAGGGCAGGAGGGGCAGAGCCAGCTGTAGCACAGGCATTCCCGCATCCCACTGCCCCTCGGCACAGGCATTCCCGCATCCACAGGCATTCCCGCATCCACAGGCATTCCCGCATCCCACTGCCCCTCGGCACAGGCATTCCCGCATCCACAGGCATTCCCTCATCCCGCTGCCCCTCAGCACAGGCATTCCCGCATCCCACTGCCCCTCGGCATAGGCATTCCCGCATCCCACTGCCCCTCGGCACAGGCATTCCCGCATCCCACTGCCCCTCGGCACAGGCATTCCCGCATCCCACTGCCCCTCAGCACAGGCATTCCCGCATCCCACTGCCCCTCAGCACAGGCATTCCCGCATCCCACTGCCCCTCAGCACAGGCATTCCCGCATCCCACTGCCCCTCAGCACAGGCATTCCCGCATCCCACTGCCCCTCAGCACAGGCATTCCCGCATCCCACTGCCCCTCAGCACAGGCATTCCCGCATCCCACTGCCCCTCAGCACAGGCATTCCCGCATCCCACTGCCCCTCAGCACAGGCATTCCCGCATCCCGCCGCCCCGCGCCGGGCTCAGCAGCGATGCCGGCGCTCCCTGCAGCAGCCTCGCCACCAAACACACCCCGGCCCTCGCCGGCGAGAGCCCGGGGATGCTCCCAGCCCTCGCTCCCGTCTCGTTTATGTAACTCGTTTATTCAGCGAGCTGCAGGCAGCGGGCCTGGCAGCCCCCTGGGATGGGCTCCAGCCGAACCCGCCTCGGGAGCAATCGCCCCCGTCCTCAGTGAGGCACTTCGGAACGTACCGAGGTACTAACAGTGTTTAATAGTGGTCCAGTGTGTCTCAACAACCTGTGAAGCCATCGAGTTACTTTCCCTGCAACGGTACGAATAAACCACTTTTTAATTATCATTTCCTTTGATTCTCCATTTGTGCCACGGAAAGCACGAGGACCTGAGCACGTCTCAAAATACAGAGGATAATTGAGGTACACATAAAAAACACTTGTCAGCTGCCCTACATAGACATCTACTGTATTTTCAGGAGCTACTACAACAGGAGCAGCCTAAAACCGCTTCCAAATCCCTACCGAAAATGCCTCCTGCAGCATTTTACAGCAGACTGTTGGATCAGTAAAAATGCTTATGGATAAAAAGCATTTTAACCTGGAGATATCCGTGGCAGCCCAGCAAAAAACAATCCAGCCAGAGACTTCATAGCTGAGAAGTGCCGCTAATTAAATCAGATTTCTCAGCAGCCAGGAGGCCTGCAACCGACTGCACCCGTATTCCAGAGAAGGAGAAAATGGGGGGGGGGGGGGTTTGAACTACAGTAGGATCAAGGCAAAGTACAACACATGGATAAAAAGTTACAGTGGGGGCTGGGGGGTAATTAAATCAAGGCCGAGGATTGCGGAACACAAGCCAGGAGGAAAGGTTCGAGTAGATTGTGGTGTCTGAGTGCCGGTAAACAAATTTTGCTCCAGTCAAGAGACAGGAGATCCGGGAGCACAGGGTCCATTAGGAGAGGCAGGAACAGAGCCACGGGAAGCACAAAATCTCCTCGTGGCACGGAGCCAGCGCTCCAATCGTTGGGAAATATAGAACTATGTATCAAAATAAATAATGACGATGGTAATGCTCCTGGCAGGGTTTAATCGTCCTCTCCCTGCCACAGCCCCGCGCTGCTCACTCTGCAGAGCCCCGAACTGCTGCCGGAAGCCAAAACTGCATCATTTCACCCCAACAACCCATTCCTAAACTTCCAGCAACAGCCAGGGCTTCTCAATAGAGTGAAAGAAGGGCAAACGAAACCGCGCCGGGAGCCGGCGGGCGGCCCAGAGCTCAGGGCTGCGGGTACCGGCTGGCTCTGGGGACAAGTTCCCGCATCCCCGGAGCACCCCCGGGGCAGCCCCGGGCCCGGCGCCGCCGCAGCGGCCCCGCAGGGGCTCGGCCGGAGCCTCCCTGGGCAGCCCGGGGACGGATGGATGGATGGATGGATGGATGGATGGATGGATGGATGGATGGATGGATGGATGGATGGATGGATGGATGCTGCGGCAGCGCTTCCCTCCCGCCCGCCCGCCCGCGGCCGCCTCTTACCTCAGCACGGCCGTGTCCCCTTTCCTGACCACCAGATTGTCCACGGCAGAGCCCGGGAAGTCTCCGCCCGGCGCGGCCAATCTCCCGGGAGGCAGGAACCAGCAAAGGCCGAGGAAGACGATGGCCAGCCACTGGTGGGAGCCCCCGGCGCTCCGCAGCGGCGGCAGCATCTCCGCTCCGCGCCGGCCCCGGAGAGCGGGCGAGCGCTGCTGCTGCTGCCGGCGAGGGCGGCCCGGGCTGCGCGGGCGGCGGGCGGCGGAGCGCGGCTGCTCCCGGGCGGCCGCCGCAGCATCCAGCGCGGACGGAGGGCAGCGCGCCCGCTCCGCTCGGCTCGGCTCCGCTCCGCTCGGCTCCGCTCGGTCTGGCTCGGCTCCGCTCGGTCTGGCTCGGCTCCGCTCGGCTCAGCTCGGCTCAGCTCCGCTCCGCTCGGCTCGGCTCAGCTCCGCTCGGCTCGGCTCGGCTCCGCTCAGCTCCACTCGGCTCCGCTCGGCTCCGCTCCGCTCGGCGGCGGGCGGTCCCCGCTGCCAGCCCGTTGCCACGCAGCCGTCGCCTTGGCAACCGGCCCGGCGGCGGAGGATGCTCGGCCCTCTTTGCCGGGCTCCCCGCTCCGCCCTCCCCGCAGCCCGGCCCGCGGGCCCCCAGCCCCCCGCGTTCCGCCCGCCCCGCTCTGCTCTCCCCCCCCAGAAGGCGGAGTGGAAATTGGCCGCCCTGCCAAAAGGCAGCGCACAGGCGGCAGCGCCGGGAGCGGCACCGGCAGCTCCAGCCAGGGGCCCCTGGGACCTGCTGGAAGCTCCAGACCTTTCTGGAACGGAGGGTTGCCCACTCTGGTACTTCCATTTCCTAATATTCTACCCAGAAAAAAGATTCAGGGCCACAGACCTTCACCAAAGAGCAAATAAACCACTGACAGGTTATTTCTCCAAATTCTACCAGGAAAGCCAGAGACCTTTACCAAGGAGAAAGAAAAATCACCAACAGATTATTTCCTAAAATTGCCCTAAGACATTCAGAGATCTTCACCAAGGAGCTAAAACCCACTGCTCTGTTATTTCCCAGAATTCTACCAGACCTTTGCGCCAAGGACCTAAAATTCACTGAAAGATTCTTCCAGGAGACTGAGAAGCCTTTGCCAAGGAGCAAAAATCCATGACAGATTATTTCCCAAAATTCTACCAGGACAGCCAGAGACCTTCACACCAAGGAGGGACAAACCACCCCCATTTCTCCCCAGGACTCCAGCGGTGCATCTGGAGACCCTGCCTGACAGATTCCATCCATTCCAAAGGCCATCAAGAGCCTTTCCCCAAGGAACATAAATCCACTGACAGATTATTTCCAAAATTCTACTGGGACACCTCGAGCCCTTCAAAAAAGCAAAAAACCCCCTGGCAGCCGAACTTGCTGCAGCCAGCCAGGAACGAGCAGCCTCTTTTCCCTGGGGTCTTCCCCAGCACACACAAAGCCCTGGCAGGCTGTGGCAGGCACACAGAGCAGGGAGTTCAGTTCTGTTCTGTTTGCTGCCTTTGTTTACCCTCTGTGCCCCTCCAGGCTGGGCAGCATTCACACCAGAGCCCCGGCTGCACCCCCTGCCCGCTCAGCCTGGTCCCTGCTCCTCTCTCTGGAGCTCCAGAGGGGTTGCATAAGGGCTGCTGTGGAACAGAAATTGCAGGAATGCTGCACTGGGGCTGTTCCAGAGTGATTGAGGCACATCTGGCCCGCACAATGTGCCGGTTGTCCCGTGTGCCACTGTCCCTGCCCATCTCCCTTTCATGCCCTGCCAGGGCGTGCGTGGCTCTGCGTGCCCTCCTGCCCTGCGCACGGTTTGCCTCAGGAGGAGCGGGGAGCAGAACGTTCCAGTCTAAGCAGCTCTGTGACAATCAGGCTGCTTCTGTCGCTCGCTCTTTCGGGAAGCCCCATCCCCGTTCCTGGAAGCTGCTCCCTCCATTACCACATCCCATTAGATGCTTCCAGCTGCCAGAAGAAATCCGAGCGTGCACAAAAGGGAATTCTTCCCTTTCTCCCGCAGCACCGAGGCTGCAGAGTTTCCTTGGTGAGGAAGGAGAGGGGGAGAGCGGGGCTGGCTCCCTCAGGGTGGCTGGGGAGGGCACAGGGTCCTTTTGGAGCAAACACAAGTGTCCAGTGACACACAGGCAGCTGCCACAGCCCTCAGAACGTGGCATAGGAGCTTCTCCCTGGCACCAGGGGAGCATCAAGTGCCAAAATATCACTGGGAATGCTGCATGCAATTGGAACTGGCTGGGCACAGGATATCAGGTGCCCTCACCCACACTGAGGTGCTCACAGAGGTGGAGCTGTCCCACCCCTCAGCCTGCCACCGCCACCCACCACTCAGAGATCCACAATCACCGCCCCCAGGGCCTGTCCAGAGCCAGAGCCTCCCCAGGGAACAACCAGACACATCCCACAGCAAGCAGCTGCAAGGGTCCTGAAGGGCTTCAGGAACCCAGACAAGGGCTGTGACAAGGGGAGCAGCAAAACCCCACAGCTGCTCCTCAAGGCTTTCTGCTCCTCCTTCCATCCCACTGTGGGATGCACCCTAATGAGGTAATTCCATTTGCATAGCAACTCTTTAACAAAAAGGGGATGCACCCCAGGAGAGCTCTGATCCCTCAGAGCAGACTCTGGTCTCGCAGAGCAGAAATCCTGAGTGGAACATGGTCCTTCCTCTACCAGACCTGCACAGCTGGAACAGCTCATCACACACCTGCCAAGTGCATCCTCTTCTTCACCAACACTTGTGCTCGTCAGTGCTCTTGCACAGACTTTGGGAGAGCACCACTCTGAGCTCTGGGCAAATCCCATCCAGAGCAAACCCCAAATCCCTGCAAACCCCATCCACAGCAGGCATTTGGGGCCTGGATGTGGCAAACTTCCCACAGCTGTCAGGTGTGAGGAGCCCTTTGAGTGTTCTGGTACGCCCAGTGCTCAGATCTCCAGGGTGTAACAGTGCACGTCTCATTTCAGGGAGAGCTCTGAACCTCTAATGAGTCCAATGATGTTCCTCTCGCTTGACCTTAACAAACAATCAAATCATTTCCTCCTCTTTGAGTGAGCAGGACAAAAGGCATCTCTCCCCAGCACCATTTATTCACGTTGCAGAAGATCCTATAAATCTCAATCAACAATAGCAAAGATGAAGCTTTTTCTTTTGTTTTGTTCATTTTTAGATTCATATCTTGCCTTTAATGTTATTTGTAGATAAATGGAAAAATGAGCAGGTCAGGGGGCAAGAGCAGTTGTGCCAGTCAGGGCTGGTCTGGAGATTGAATTCTTTCATCTGAATCTGCCCCACCTCCTCCCCAAGCCCAGGGAGAATTGTAGTGGGGAAAAACAAGAATAAAAGAGGGAAAATCTCCCACCAGATGTGTGCACAGAGAAAAGGCATTTCAAGGATGCCTGAGGTTGGAAAAGCCCTCCCAGCCCATGGAGCCCAGGCTGTGCCCAGTGCACCGGAGGCGCCCCAGCAGTGCCAGCACAGGGGGACAGTGCCAGTGCTGCTGCCACAGGCCAGGCTGTCACTGGCCTTTGGCCATGCGGGCACAGGGCTGGCAAGTGAGCCCTGCCCCTGGGCAGACAGGCACCTCCAGCTCCCCCCGACTGCATTTGGCTGGTTTAGCACCAGGTCCCTCCAACCCAGCCCTGCTAACGCCATATGATAATTCCCTGTAATTCAGCTGCATGTTTTTGTTTAGAACCATTTCAAAAAGCTAAATTTAGTTGTTGTTTGCAAGTATTCGTTCAACAGTTTGCACAAATACTCAAGACTGATTCCCAGACTTCACACTTGGCTTTTTGCTTCGTTTCCTTCTGTGTGTTTAACTCTCCTGCACCCGTTCCCTCCCGCTGGCGACACAAGATGGGAGTTGGATGACTAAAATAAACTCCAGGAGAATCAGTGCTTTGGGTCTGCATCCCAGAGCCAGCATGGCACAGGGGAACAGAGCACAGGAACAGAGGCAGTGTGCCCCTGGGCTGGCACCTGCCTGGGAGCAGAGCCCGGGCCACAGAGCCCTTCCTGCCAGGACAGAGCACTGAGCACTGGGACAGTGTCCACCCTGCCAGGACAGTGTCCATCCCCCTGGGACAGTGTCCATCCCACCAGGACACAGCACCGAGCACTGGGACAGTGTCCATCCCACCGAGACAGTGTCCATCCCATTGGGACACAGCACCGAGCACTGGGACAGTGTCCATCCCACCGGGGCAGTGTCCATCCTGCCAGGACAGTGTCCATCCCACCAGGACACAGCACCGAGCACTGGGACAGTGTCCATCCTGCCAGGGCAGTGTTCATGCTGCCAGGACAGTGTCCATCCCATTCGGACACAGCACCGAGCACTGGGACAGTGTCCATCCCACCAGGACAGTGTCCATCCCACCAGGACAGTGTCCATCTCACCAGGACAGTGTCCATCCTGCCAGGGCAGTGTCCATCCTGCCAGGACAGTGTCTATCTCACCAGGACAGTGTCCATCCCCCTGGGACAGTGTACATCCCACCAGGACAGTGTACATCCCACCGGGACAGTGTCCATCCTGCCAGGACAGTGTCCATCTCACCAGGACAGTGTCCATCCTGCCAGGACAGTGTCCATCCTGCCAGGACAGTGTACATCTCACCAGGACAGTGTCCATCCCACCGGGACAGTGTACATCCCACCGGGACAGTGTCCATCCCCCTGGGACAGTGTCCATCCCGCCAGGACAGTGTCCATCCCGCCAGGACAGTGTCCATCCCGCCAGGACAGTGTCCATCCCACCGGGACAGTGTCCATCCCGCCAGGACAGTGTCCATCCCGCCAGGACAGTGTCCATCCTGCCAGGACAGTGTCCATCCCGCCAGGACAGTGTCCATCTCACCAGGACAGTGTCCATCCCACCAGGACAGTGTCCATGCTGCCAGGACAGTGTCCATCTCACCAGGACAGTGTCCATCTCACCAGGGCAGTGTCCATCCTGCCAGGGCAGTGTCCATCCCCCTGGGACAGTGTCCATCCAGCCAGGACAGTGTCCATCTCACCAGGGCAGTGTCCATCCTGCCAGGGCAGTGTCCATCCCCCTGGGACAGTGTCCATCCTGCCAGGGCAGTGTCCATCCAGCCAGGACAGTGTCCATCCCACCGGGGCAGTGTCCATCCCACCGGGGCAGTG